ACAAAATCATCTTTATCTGTAATTTTACTATGCAAATAAAAGTCATACCTATTTAAGGATCAGGACTGTAACAATGAGAGGAGCCCATTGAGAGGGGGAACAAAGATTTGTTGACTGAATTAAGGATTCTGTTTCATGCTCTGCATGTTGATGTCGAGCTGGGTTCAGTTCTGCTGAGATAAAAGGCCGGGCTTGAACAGTCGAGGCATAATACGAGGAAAAAAACGCATCTACGAGAGAATATGTTTTCTGTCTTTGAGCATGAATCAGTTTACACGGTATACCATATCAATCGTTGGCCTCAAATCTATATCTGCAAAGTGCTTAGGTTTGCATTGGTGATTAGATGAATTGAACTGAGAACAGTCTGTTACTTGAGCATCCCCTCATATCTTGGATACCTAATGCCTTTCCTCTGCCACCGAAGTGACCACAGATTCAGGATGCTTGGCTCCGGGCACTTAGCCAGAAAGCTTTATGCATTCTGATACCATTCATTTTCAATCAGGACCAGCACATCCTTCCAAACCTATCGCAAGCTGCCTTTGGCTTCAACACTTCAATTTGCCTTTCCTTTAATTGATTTGGCAGTTCTCCACGTTGCCGGTGATGTAAATTGACGGTTAATATTGCTAAAATTCCAAGTGAGAATGTTTGCATTGCTTATTCCAAATGCATTGAGTGTTTTAGTTTCCAGTTTGCAGAATCATGTGTTTTTCCACACTGTGGTATAAAGTATTGTGTAGATTCAGCATATTTTACCTGACTTTTTACTTCGACATGCTCGTCTTGTGTCTGCTCAACCTGGAAGGGTTTCTTCACACTGCTGCCATGGAAAAGGGACATGGGAGCAGGGGTAGGGAGTCTTCCTCTGTGGTATAATGAGTCTGACAATGAAAGTGGCACTGCGTCCTCCCTGGACCTTGCCGTGTGATCAATCATAACAATAGCTCACCATTTCCTCCTCTAGATGCTGACCTTTCTCCCTTAAGGAAAGTAAGAGTGTGTAGGTGTTAGAATGTGTGTGTTCCTCTCCACTGCGCCATCACCTTATTTCCACTAAGCCCTTGAAGTCTTTCCATACTGCCATTAGAATGTCCTTTGGAAGTGGAGTCCTGCTCAATCAAAATGCCCTACAGAGGTAATATGGATCTGTTTTATTCTGTCGTACGAGCTATTTTAAGCACAGATGACACACTTAGAAATCTGGAAAGGGATGACATCCAGATCACATGCGTCCCGGAGCATCACATGAATAGCTGAGAAGGTAATCTGATGCTTTTACTCCAGTAAGCAGGCCTGACAAGATGTCATGCAAATATCAATGACTGAGATTATTTTAGGCTGATTTTGTCGTCTTGGAGAGCTCAAAAGGAGTGACAGAAAAATGAATCATGTGCAGAGAGAGCTGTGGAATCAACAAGTGATCCCCCCCACCAGCTTCATATCCCAGATCAGTCAACAGGACGTTTTATTGTGATAGCCTCTATATACCTTTGTGTGCTTCTGTTTCTATCTGTGGACGGGCAGCACCACAAAGATTACTTAAATAAAGGCACAAGCTTAAATACGAGAAAAGACAGTTCTAATCAAACATGTCTTAATATGCTTAAGCCACAGATGTCCCTTATCAGCAGTAAAAGGTCTAGACCAGGTTTTATAGCTGTTTTTATGCCTCTCTATCTTTCTGTCTCCAGCACAGAAGCACATGTCCCAGGTTTTTAGAACAACATAAAAATCAAACCCATGCACAACTGCCTGTAATAAAAGCATGTTCAAAAACTCAAGTGATATTTCTAAAGAAGCTGCGCTGAACCAAAGACAGTGACATTTACATTTATCACTTTTATTTGATGTCATTCAATATTTTACACACATATATGTGACCGTATATACTGTGTGGGTGTATATATATATATATATATATATATATATATATATTATGTACATATATATATTATGTACATTATTACTTTGAATTGCTTTGAGGGATTTCTAAACAATTGATAATGTCAATAGACTTATCAAATCAAATATAAGTAAGTAAACTTTATTTTTAGAGCACTATATTTATAGTGCTTTACAAAAGTATAAATTACAGGCTTAAAATAAAACAAAAACATTAACAGCTGATTGATAAAAACTGTAAGAACAGCTGATAAAATACGTTCTTGTTTTTAGTATTTTACCTTGTTTTATGTACGGCACCTTGATTTGACTGTTTTTATAAATTATTTTATTTGATTTGCTTTTGTTGAATTATTGTTGTCTGAACTTTGCATGTTGTCAGTTTAAAACCGCTCCCTCTTGAAAACGAGTCCCCGTGACTCAATGAGACTAACCTGTTTAAAAATAAATGTTGAAAAAATATATATTTATAAATGCACACACACACACACTGTGCTGAACTCGTTTTCAAGAGGGAGCGGTTTTAAACTGACAACATGCAAAGTT